ATGGTTACCACATCAAAAATTACCAAAAAATGCCAAAAAATGCTATTTTTAACCCAAAATTTGACCCCCGCAAGTAGTAATTTTTTTCCTAAGCTCTGTCTGAAATTAAAGATTACCTACCTGGTTGCAGAATTATCTGGGTCGCAGTAAAATTGTAGAACTTGATTTTTTGCAATTTTGCGTCGTGTGCTGTTGTCAAAATTTTACCTCCTGTAAAGCTAGCTTTTCATGTGTACGCACCCTTTCGTATTATGGCCAAAATTTTATTCTCGAACCAAAGAAATCTTCTTTCTTTTTTACAAATGTGAAGCTCACATAGCCCACTTCATCATGCTTATACCAATTTTAGTACAGTTTTATTTTTATATTTTTTTTTACATATCATTATACAGGGGTTAGCCATTTAACAAAAATATCACCCATGGCCACAACCCTCTACTGTATACTGCTACCCTAGAACAAGTAAAGCCTTTGAAATATATTCTACAGCTGGGATTTAAATGATAAAATAATGAATACATGTGACGTTCCAATCCTGACCAGGAAGTTGTTATGTTCTACCCCTTATCAGTGTGTAATCAATGTCCACATGCACAGAATCAATCAATAACGCCTTGCAATACTTGTGTATACAAAATTCTAAAACATCAATGAAATGTTTACCTTGCTCTTTAATGTGAAACCTTTCAATCATCAATTATAAGAAACAAAACGACCGGGTTCAGTTAGTGTCATACAAGGTCGTTTTGATTAACATAAAGTAAGATTATGTGTCACTCTTCTCGGGAATATTGGAAAATATAACCTTGGTAGTTTATTGTCTATATATAAAATTGCCTTTATTAAAATTTGATTACTCTTTCGTGTCATTTTAAAATTGACTTTAAACAAGGAATGTTATTTTTCAGATAAGGAACTATTGAGAAACTGTTAAGATATTTTATATGTACCTTCAAACATAATAACGATGTTATATTGGAACATAACAAACATATTCTGTACTTCTGGGTTGATTTATACATATATTCACAGTAATAAGAAACGCCATGAAAAAAGTAATTTTAAAACTATTGTTTTTCGTTTATTTAGAAGCTTAACACCAACCTCTCTAGCATATTGATTTGTATTTTTGTAAGGATAACTGTTTCAGCTGTCATTGTCAATCATTGTTTGTATTTGATATCAAATTTAGGCCGATCCTTATTAAAGGTTAAACTATTTTAATTGCTGTCAAGACTACGGCTCTGAATTAAGCTTTCTTGCACATATTGTTATAATGTATCATACCGGTCTTATCGGCCATTGTAAGTTTGAGTATTTATTACTTCAACATTTGATTTTGACTGTTTTATGCAACACCTCTGTATATCTTATGACAGCATCCAAAAAAAATTATACCTGTTGTTAATGGTAGCTATTTATTGATTTTTTTCTTCTGTTTGATATTTAAACGAAAATGATATCCAATATCTTACAACTAGCGATGAGGACGCGTTTGATGATTCAGCCATGGGTAAGATTTATCAAGCATTCAGAGAAAGGTAATTGTATGGTATACGTTGTGAAAAGATTCAGAAGAAACTTGGCTATGAAAGATTTAAATTTGATTTAAGCGATATCAATACAAAAACTATACAAATTCTTCAGGTAGACTTTGGAAGCCAAAGTAGTATCTTACCCATGTTAGGAAGACTCGGTTGAATATTGCATCTATCCCATGCCCCAGTCGTCATCATTGGCTAGTTTGGAGTCATTAACTGAGCCACTGTTAATAAAACACGAGAAAAGTTGTGAGAAAAGTCTAAGAACTATCAAAAATTGCAAAGCTCACGTAAGTATTTTAAATTTTAATGACTCAAGAACTTGATGATGAATGTATTGTTTCACAAGTCGAGCGTAGCAAAAAGGCGACACCGACCGTGGCCATGCCAAAAGAGGATAAATGAATGAACGTGTGTTCAGTTCGCGAATGAGGTTCGCAGAGGTAGATTTGTCTCATGTGTTTTAGCAATTAACAACTGACTCACCTTGGAATATCAAGGTATGTCTTTTTTCGGAGTGTCTCCAGCACGTTTTATGTTTCAGTTGGTCAAGGACAGAAGCGTTCAAGGATTTAATAATGCAAGTGTCGCAGTTATACGGACACGACGGATCGCAAATATTACGTGAACTATTTCGATGTCTCGCGGCTACTCGAAAAATATCACATTCGTCAACGATAGGACAGATGTAGACCAGCGTGAAGTTGGTTACTTATTCAATATTGGGCAAGCAAAGATCCCTTCCAATTAGGTTATGAACTATTCAAAATCAAAATGCGGTATATAAGAGGGCGGAGCTCTCCCTATAGGTACAGTTGTGGGACCGCACGACGCACCAAAAATAGCGTGCGCACACCGTGCATACATCGTTCACACGCCGTCCGCACATCGTCCGCACATGGTGCGCACAACTGCGATTTAGCAATCATTCGCCCTGTTGTGCGCTTCTCTCCGCACAACTGTGCGATTTGGTATCATTTGTAGATCAAAATTACGGAATGACAAAAATACGGAAGGCTTGTATGCGATAATGTACACTGTGTATATATCTGTAAGTTCTCATCACAATAATCAAGATTATACAATTTCCCAACGCGTGTTACACAGTATTACAGCGACCGTTAGGCTGTCAAGAATGGGTTTGGCTCCAAGGTAACAGAACAGGTAAATAACAATTTTATGAGCGTCCGGAGTTTTACCTGACCAGTGCCTGACACACAGAGCTGATATGCGATACCATTTGACCGTAATGAATAGTATTTGTTATTTGCATTCGTTTGCCTATAGCTCCCCTTCACCTGGATTTTCACACCCCCGGCCTTACCCGACGAGTTACGTAAGTGCCCCAGGCGGGGAGAAAACTACGGTCCAGGTACTGTATGCGGGATTGTGTTGTAATTTTACATGTGTCGATTAAGTTTGTTTAAAAACACAGAAAACATAATTTCAAAATATAAGAATGTATAGACTGAAAGATAAGTTTATAGATGTTGCTAAAATATAGAAACATACGTAAACATCAAGTTTATATGCTTAAACACGAAACCGTATTAATTGTTAAGGCATTTCGCAATTTACACCAACCACGATTGTTATCGCACAACGTCCGTCCATCGTGCGCACAGATGTGCGCAAGCAATGATCGTCCAGCTTTTTATCGTTCGCCCATCGTGCACACACCGTTCACACACCGCGCACACATCGTGCGCACACCGCACATCGTGTAACGTTGTGCGATCCCACAACTGTAACACGTATGTAAGAAAAATAAAGATTATTCACAATACCTATGCTATGGAACTGAAAAACTTGTCTTAACATGGCAACCCGTCGCACGCGCTGTAGTCTCCGCCATTTTGATCTCGAAACAAGTTCTCGTTTGCCGAATCTCGAACAAACGTTATATTTTTGTAAGGTTTAAAACTTATATCTAACTCAATATCTAACAGTAGCATGGATTATTATCAGGGAAATACTTTAACCACTTATACGACGCGGTTGTCACAACCCTTAGATCTGAAAGGAAATTGGGAGGTGGGATTAGCCGAGATACACTATCCACATCTGTGGTATAACGTGAAAAGTGGCGAAGCTCAGCTGAAGTTATTACTGGGAGAGGGTAACGAGGCAAGTCCCGGATTGACGATAGACATACCGGAAGGATATTATTCATCGACGAAAAGAGTGCTGAAGTACGTGGATAAAGCTAAGAATGATGTCTCACGGCGATCGGTTTAGCTTTCACGTCCACGAACACGATCAAAAAGTTAGGCTTCACATTACCAAAGGCGTGCACGTATACCTCACTCGGGCTTTAAGCGAAATGCTCGGTTTTAGAAAACAAGAATTCGTTGACGGAATGAACACGGCGGAATTCAAGGGCGACGTTCGAAGAGGATTTTATTCTCTGTACGCTTACAGTCCTCTCGTCGAAGCGAGAATGGTCGGAGATACGAGAGCTCCGCTACTGCGCATCGTTCCGATAGAAGGTAAACCTGGCGACACGGTGTGTAAAGTATTCTATTCCGTACACTATTTCAACGTCAATTTCAAGAAGTGGAACTCACACTGAGAGACGACACGGGCGCAACCGTACTGTTCGAGACCGACTTAGTAGTGATGACGCTACATTTCAAAAGAAGACCCTTAGACTTTCCCTAAAAATGTTATATATAATATATAACATTTCAAAAACGTTCAAGATGAGATATCCTCCACACAGAAGCGATCCTTACGTGTTCGATCGGTATTATCTCGATCAAGCCGGAAGCGGAAAAAAACGTTTTCGCCGGAAGTCGAATGCAGAGAGGTCACGGTCTTGGTTCGATATTCAGCGGTTTATTTACGGCTGCAACCCCGTTGTTAAAAAGAGGTGCGAAGGCATTAGGAAGACAGGCTTTGAAAACGGGTATGGAAGTAGCAGGCGACGTCATAGACGGCAAGAATATCAAAACTGCAGCGTTGACTAGGGTTCGCAACGCCGGAACTGAATTGAGAAACCGCGCGTTAGACAACGTTAGAGAAGGTCCGCCGGGACGACGTCGAAAATCAAAACGAAACAAAAAGAGAAGAGTCGACTATTTAGATGATCAGGGGTAGAAAAGTGTATAAATAGAAACGATATGTAGCGATTTTCCATTCGTCCGCGATTAAACTTCGCAAGGCATAAGTCATGTCGTTGGTTCATCCGAATTCGTTCGAGTGCACAAAATCCGAATTGGATCTGTTTGACGTACCTCTTACCCAAACGAGTGTCGAAGACGGCTACTGGCAACAGATCGGTACGGTGACGTCAGTCAACGACGGAGGTCCGTACACGTTTCGCTATTCAATAACGTGAGCGTCAGTCTAAACGAAAGGCTGGTGTCTCCGCCCGACAATGCATATCCGTACAGGGCGTACATCGAAACCCTGTTAAGTTACGGGCCCGCAGCTAAAGAGTCTCAACTGACAGGCGCCATGTGGTACAAAGACACCGCAGGTAAAATGGACACTCAGGGCGACGAAAACTTGGGATACGTCGCGAGGAAAGCGTTGACGGCAAGAAGTCGCACCGTCGATTTGATGGGGAAAATCCATTCGGACGTGTTTGCACAGGAACGCTACTTAGTCAACAACGTCGACGTGGAAATAAACATGTCACGCAGTAAGGAGGTGTTCTGTCTCAATGAAGCGGGCGACACGTTTAAAGCGGTCGTGCAAGATATCTGTCTGTACGCAGGGAAAGTGCGTTTGAATCCGACCGTTCGCCTTGCTTACGCAAGAGCCATGGAAAAAACTCCAGCCAAGTATCCGATACGGAGAATAGAAATGAAAGTGACGTCCGTGCCTCGAGGTAACATGGACTTTACCAAGGACAACCTGTTCATAGGACAGATGCCCAAGAGGATCGTCCTGGGCATGGTCGACACGGACGCTTTTAACGGTACCGCCACCAAAAATCCTTTCAATTTCAAACACCACAAGGTCGATTACGTGTGTCTTAATGTGGACGGGAAACAAATTCCAGCCAAGCCATTACAACCGGACTTCACGAACGGTCAGTACGTGCGCAGCTACATGAATCTCTATACGAGCACGGGTAAAATTTACCACGACGAGGGAAACAACGTGTCTCGAGAGGAATTCGGGAAAGGATACACCCTGTTCGGATTCGACCTCACGCCCGATCTGTCGGAGATGGGCACATTTCATCTCATAAAAAGCGGAAACATGAGTCTACACCTTCATTTCAACGAGATTTTAACAGCGACGATCAACGTCATAGTGTATGCAGAGTTTGACAACATCATAGAAATCGACCGTAACAGACAGATTTTATTCGATTACAGCGCATGATGAATACCATTCAAATAGATTCCATCTTGAACAAAAACTGTCCTCATTTCAAAGGCGTGTACGCCAGAAACAGATTACCGAGACGATTAAACGTGCCGTGTGCACTCGTGTGTAACACAGATCCCGATACACTTGAGGGTGAACACTGGATTGCGGTGCACATAGACGGTGAAGGCCACGGAGAATATTACGATCCCTTCGGATTTCCGCCGACGAACAAAGTATTCACTAATTTCATGGACAGACAGTGTCGAAGTTGGCGGTACAACGGCGTTAGAGTACAACACCTCCACTCGTTAGTGTGCGGGCAACATTGCATTTTCTACATAGTTCAGAGATGTAAAGGAAAAACGATGTCCGACATAACGTCCTTATTAAAAAGAGACTTTCATGACTTTCACGTATTTCGTAGACGACTTCGTTAGATCGCTCGTTTCGTGATGTCTTCGTTTGCCAACAAATCAATGAGAGGACGGGAGGGTTGTTTATAAAAATGATAATCAATCAATGTATAATATAAAAAGAAGAAAAAACCAAAAAAAACAAACAAAAGAAAACAAAAAAATAAACAAAAATCAAAACATTAAAAACCAAACAATTAAAAAATGTTCAAACGGGCAACAATGAGTCAGTTGGTCGCTGATGATACCCCCGACTACGGATAATACGGCTAAAATTAAACAAAAAACTAAAAAAACGGGGGACCCGTAGCCATGATCTTGATTGATTTGTTAAATGCCTTAGCTCGATTAGCAAGATACTGTCATACTGGACACTTATGACGAATGAGGACAAATAGTGTACAAAAAGTGTACAAAGGTGTACAAATAGTTGACAAATAGTCGACAAATGTGGACAAAAAGTGGACAAATATGGACAAATAGTGGACAAAAGTGGACAAATAGTGGACAAGTAGTGGACAAATAGTGGACAAGTAGTTGACAAATAGTGGACAAATATGGACATATAGTGGACAAATAGTGGACAACAGTAGACAAATATGGACAAATGTGGTCAGAGGTGGACAAAAAATGAACAAATAGTGGACAAATATGGACAAATAGTGGACAAATAGTGGACAAGTAGTGGACAAATGTGGACAAATATGGACAAAGGTGTACAAATAGTGGACAAAGGTGGACAAATAGTGGACAAAAGTGGACAAATATAGACAAATATGGACAAAGGTGGACAAATAGTGGACAAATGTGGGCAAATGATGACAAAATAAGGACAGAATACAATACAGAATCAGCAGTATCTGCATATTTTTACGTCTAACGAGATTATTTCGTATTTGTTTTTGTATTTTGAATAAGTTTAGTATCAAAATACATTCTTTCATATTTATTGATTTATCTATTGATATAACCTTAGTTTCAAACTTCTTAAACAAATCAATTTTGAAATACAACTCTTAAAAATCAAAAATAAAGTGTATTCATTATTTTATCATTTAAATCCCAGCTGTAGAATATATTTCAAAGGCTTTACTTGTTCTAGGGTAGCAGTATACAGTAGAGGGTTGTGGCCATGGGTGATATTTTTGTTAAATGGCTAACCCCTGTATAATGATATGTAAAAAAATTATGAAAATAAAACTGTACTAAAATTGGTATAAGCATGATGAAGTGGGCTATGTGAGCTTCACATTTGTAAAAAAAAAGAAGATTTTTTTGGTTCGAGAATAAAATTTTGGCCATAATCCGAAAGGGTGCCTACACATGAAAAGCTAGCTTTACAGGTCAACTTTTGACAACAACACACGACGCAAAATTGCAAAAAATCAAGTTTTACAACTTTACTGGGACCCAGATAATACTGCAACCAGGTAGGTAATCTTTAATTTCAGACAGAACTTAGGAAAAAAATTACTAGTTGCGGGGGACAAATTTTGGGTCAAAAAATAGAAATTTTTGGCATTTTTTGGTAATTTTTGATGTGGTAACCATGGTTTTTTCACAAGTGACATACATAGAAAAAATAGGTTTATACACCTCTCAGTACTTTATATGTGTTGTAAATGTAATGCGGTTTACAAATATATATAGATGTGTTGTGTAGGGTAAATCCGCTGTGTTTACATTTCCTCGACATGTGCCTTGTTTATCAGAGTCGGGCCATTTCTACTGTATACTGCTACCTAGTGATCAGTAAGTGTTATCAGTGTTGAAAAAAAAAATCTTGTCGTTATACATCGAATCCGTAAGTGTTTGTGTCAAAAACACACTGATAAGGCACTATTACAACTTCCTTGTCAGAATATCAATTAAGTGAAATAGTTTATCATGTTCATTACAACATTATATTAGAGATATCTCCTGTCTCATTTATTTCAATTTAACAACATAAACTGGTGGATATGGTAACGTCATAGTTGATAATAAGTTAACAATTCGTCATTATAAATAGTAATTTGAAATTTTATTGTCGTAATATCTTAATATATTGTTTTTTCGCTTCCGGTTCGGATAGGGGTAAGCTGTATATAACTTATAATTAGTAGTTTTTGTGTCCTTATAAAGACTGAATATACCTGCATTTATAAGGAAAGAGCATGAGGTATTTCCACTTTCTGTTCCAACTTATTGATACTGCTTAGTGATGAATATTAATTTTGTAATTTTTAAAAAATACTGCGTAGAAGGGGATTTACGAAAGGACGTCAGAGAAACAATGGATACATATAGCAGCCAATCGGCGGTGTTGGTATACGAAGGTAGTTCTTAATTTGCGGAAATAGTCCCGTAACTCTGAGTATAACTACACCAATATGATGAATGAAAGCTGAAAATCAATTTATATTGGTTCGGTTTACTATACTGAAAAATTGCTGATGTTCCCCGCTACAGTTTAAATGTAGAATATCCATTAAGATAATAAGTGCGTAGAAATGTATGTGGTATTACCAAGACATTTTAGGCTTGCTCAAGTTAACAGGCAAGAAAAACCAATAAAGGATAAGAAGTGTTACCCAAATCTTGTCAACAATATTGAAGAAAGTGTCATGTGACATCGTTGTAGACACGAAATATGTGCAAAAACGAAAAAATAACGATTCTATACTGAAATTCGAAAAGATGTCCATTGGGCATGTTTAACCTGAGGTATCGTTGATGCCGGTTTGCATGTTGATGCCTTAGAAGATGCCCAGTTGTTGTATAGGTGTGGCAAAAAGCCTTTAACAATTTGCCCCGGCCTGTTGAAAGCGAACAATTATTGATTCTATACTGAAATTCGAAAATAGCCTGGAGTATCGTTGATGCCGTTTTGAACGTGCTTAGAAGATGTCCTGTTGTTGTATAGGTGTGGAAAAAGTGGCACTAGACCTATTCTATATGCCGCGGCCTGTTGAAAACGAATAATTATCGATTATATTCTGAAATTCGAAAAGATGCCGGGTGGGCATCGTTTGCCTGGAGTATCGTTGATGCCGTTTTGAATGTTGATGCCTTAGAAGATGTCCTGTTGTGGTTAAGGTATGAAAAAGCGGCATAAGACTTATTATGTTAGATTCATTCGAATATCAAACTAGCCCAATATTAGGCCAGCCCAACGTTTGACTCGTCCAATATTGGGCTAGCTATTCTGAATTCAATAATGAGTATAGATACATAGGCGGTTTTTTATAGTGCATTTTGTACTACAAGTTATTTTTTTTCCGTTCTCTTCTATCTTTTTGAGTTTCCTAACCCGTTTCAAAATAAAAAGATTCTCTACTGACATATATAGTTAAACCTAATACAATGCGTATTCGCTGCTAGTTGCAGTTTTTTAAGAAGATCGCTATGAAATATAGAGCAGCCACTCCACACTTCACATGCGTATTCTAAAGTGGGTAAAATAAAGCTAGTGTATATTTTTGACAAGTTGTTTTATTTTAAATAAATTTGAATTGTTTTAATGCAATTATTTGTTTTGAAGCAGACTTATAAATACTTTCAATGTGATCTCCTCATTTAGCATCAGAGCCAAAAATAACGCCTAAGTGTCTATGCATATCTACAAATTCCAAAGGGGAATTATTAAACTCAAGATCAGTTACATAATCAGTGTCAATAATACATATAAATAACACTTTATTTTTTTCTGGGTTAAATTTGATAAACCATTTTTCGCCCACTCTCGCAAACAGTCTAAGTCCTTATTCATTATTTATTCAATATCTGTACAAGAAAAAGAGCTATATATCATGGATGTGTCATCAGAAAAAGACGAGATACACTAATTAAAGTGTCTGCAATGTCGTTAATATCAATTAAAAATAGTAACAGCCCTAACACGGATCCTTGTGGTACTCCCGCCATAGCAACAAACAAGATGGCGGATCCAAGATGGCGGCTGGCCTTAGCAACCCCACCCCATATCCACATGTAATCATCAGATAAGGTATAATCGCCCAACGGCTGGTCATCTCTCATGTAAAACGAAAACACGTGCGTCTTCTTCTCTCCATATTTTTATTCTCCAAACATCTTTATGAATATGATTGTTAGTTGTCGATTCTAAATTTGAAATAGGGCGGATTTGGTAAAGGGGACATAACTCTTAGTATCAAATTACATAATAAACGTTATCTCAAGCTCACCATCAATGCTGTGTTGTTTATTATAGAACATGCCGCCCCCAAAATAAAACAGACAACCAAAAGTGTCGGTTTGAGCTTGATGGAGAACTTGTGATAACGGAAAAGTAAAAACAAATTCTGAATAAAGTTGATTCAATACTAAAAATTCATCAACTCAAGAATACAACTTTTTTATACTATAAAGAAGCATCTGGATAAGCAAAATCAAGAGACATTCATACTGTTTTGTAAGATGGAATAATCATTGCAAAATATAAACTTAACAGCAAGATAAGAATCCAGACAGACAGGTAATATAATAACCTAACAACAGAACTGTTAAATAACTTCTGGTAGTCATATCTACATGGCAGACCCACACTCTCTACCACAGACATGGACCCAGTTACTTACACATGTATATATATCAAGC